AAAACTAAAACCATAAACATCTTTGTTACTTGAAATAAAATAAAAGTTAACAGAAATAAAGTAAAATAAAAGTAACAAGTTCATTTTATTTCAGCTAGTCAGCAGTCACCATTGCTCATTTTTAGTTTAACTTGATGTACTAAAATAACTAAAACTAAAATGCAAATGTATAAAAATTATATATATATATAATAACTAATAAAATACACAATAAAAACACAAACTAAGTAAAATTTAAATTTAAATTATAAATGAAATAAACTAATTAAATTATTTAATTTCAGCAAAAATTTATAAAAACTATAATAGTATCTCAATTATACTAAAATAACACTGGTTTACAGTGGTTGCCAAATATGAATAGGTTATGATGGCTGACCATGGAAAATATGAAGTTATTTATTTAAGTCAACTTGTTTAAACCGATTGCGTAAAAAACCCAGTTGAAAAAAAAAAGATGATTGAAAAAGAAATCTATATAAAAGAGTTTTTTATTTATTCATTTGAGTGTTTATTAGTGTACTGTGCTTTAAAACCCTCCTGGAAACATTGTGTTTAAATCCATCTCATTTAAAGCACCACTGCTATAGTCATGCACATGCAAACATGCACATGATGTATGTGGACAATATTTAAGTGTGCTACCATGAGCACTTTGTTTTAACTAAAAAACAAAACAAAAAAAAAACATTAATAAACCATTCTACAATGAATTTATTAGCCTAAATACAGGTGATATTGCAGATTTTTTGTTTGGCAGATTATTATAGAATTCAACCGATGGTGCATGTGCACTAATATATTTTATTAAAATAGTTTGAACCGATTCATGGAAGTACTGAAACTCGAATGCCATTGTGTGCTACTTAAATTAGAGATGCCTTTTAAAATATCTCATATTAACAGAAACTTAACCAAAAAAAAAAAAAAAGACAGCTACGTGCAAGTATACCACAGAGCATAGGCTAACATCTGATACTTTAATTATCGGTCACTGCGTTTATGTTATTGTTTGTTTTGCACATGGTTAAAGTTCTAAAAACAGCATTGACTTTCACGGAAATCCACCGGCAGGCCGTATAAATGATGGACGTGGCATGGTAACGTTAGATGGAAAGATATAAAACTGCCTGGATGAGAGAGCAGAGCTGCCCTTTCGCTCTCTATAGGTCAGCTTTATTTGAAGTGTGCAGTATGCAGTGTGGCAGAGCTGACACATGCATTCTAATTTCAGAGTGCTGCACTAAGACAAGCTATTTGCCAGCAACACAAAAAGTATCCTCAAAAAATTGATGACGTTCACTCAGCCAATTACTGGGCTCAGCAAGTTCCCATGCTTCATTTACATAGTAATCATTGCCTAGAAATTGATCAACAGTCAAAAATGGTGCTTATGCACACCAATCAATCTGAAATTACATATAATAAAACAAACAGATAAAGTTCTAAAGTTTATCTATGTACACGCTGAATGCACACTGATTCAATAGTACATGAATGAGATAACTAGCTAAATGGCTACATAAATAGCTTACAGTTACATTTATGCAACAGTTGGGTTTCTGGAAGTACAAATTCATTTTCTCCATTGGGGAATTAATTTTTAATGGTAACTTATAAACAGTTAAAGACAGACCTCTTTTGAGCTACAAAGTTGTTAATCAATAGTATGTAAGCCATTAGCCCACACTACTTCAACTTATTTCTAAAAGAATCGTTTTTAACAGTGGAATTCCTGTTGAAAAACTACATTACCCATGATTCGGCAGAAAAATCTCCACCAATCAGAGAATCATGACCCGGGTTCAATTGACGTCAGAGTTCGGTTCGTTTGGATGTCCGAACTCGGGTGCGCACTAGTGGTCGACCGATATTGGTTTTTTGACAGCCGATATAAAGCCGACATAATTGTATTTATTTTAATTAATATTTAAGAAATCTGAAATCATTTGAAAATGGGATTAAAACATTTATTTGTAAAATAAACATACTTCTACTTTAGATGACAAAGTATTTTCCACAAATAAATAAATATTTAATAAAAATATAATTAAAAAGGAAGTAAACTGTAACCAACAGAGCACTCAGTATTCTGGGAAGTTTGTGTGCACTGGGAATCATATTTTTTCAAATAAAGCCAAGGTAACACTCATTTGACATGAATATGACAGTGGGCAAATGCATAAAGCACAGCATAATTTGAAATCACGAGTTTCTCCAGTGAAGCTGAACTCTCCTCCTGTCAGCATTCAATTTGCACGGATCGACCGTCACGCAGAGAACACGCGATCATGCAGGTCACATGCACACTTAACAAGATCTCACTGGATTCGACGAAGTTTGCAAGTTTTGTGAAATTTAATTTTCATTAGCCATTCAAAGATGTTTAAATAATGTAAATGTGTATTTGCTGAATGCTGACGGCAAACGAGAAAGTATTATAATGTTTGCCTTTCTATTACTAATAATATAAAAGCAATCGTTATAATACTTTTTGTATACATTTTAATTCCTTTGTTTAACAGTTGTTTTCTGTCTAAAGTCTACTTTAGACAGAAATACTTCCTTTGTTTAACATCGGATTATTAGACGGACAGAACTGTTAACGACGACGGCGAACAAGAGGGAGTATGTGAGCACTGTGTGCTCAGGTGTTGCAGCTCTCAGCATCATCAAAATAAAAGTCCCGCCCTGAACGCATCGGCCAAACAGAAAAACTTATCGGCCGATGACGATATTTGAAAAATGCCAAATATCGGCCGTGGCGATATATCGGTCGCCCACTAGTGCGCACCCGCGAACTGTACCAGAGTCTGCTTAAAAAGGGTGGTCTGGGGTACGGATCATGTGAACTCCGGTATGGTTCGCTGCTGACGTGAACGCAGTAGTACCAAAATCGCGGAAGTGAACCGATATTAATGACGTATTATTTGATAAAAATGTGTGTTTGTTTCACTCACTTTCCTGATGAGCGTGACTAACGCGCTGCAAACAGATAGCTGTATATCTAATTTCTGTTAGCCTTCAGCGTTTTTTAGAGCATTTGCAGTACATTTGTAAGACAGACGTAAGTGCCGTTATGTACCGAAGCTTTGTAAACAAAACGAACGGTTCAAAAACGTAAATATATAAAAGTGCAGAGAGCAATGTTATGCATTTGCCGCCTTCTCCTGCGCCGTCGTTACTAAGCAACGGGGTAAACCGCTGCTGGCTTGATGACGCAAACGAAC